TTTTCTGAGCTCATCAATCCAATCTTGCGTAGGGCATTGCTCTTCTCTTCTAACAATAAAGCTCAGTCCATCAACTCATCTAATGTGCCTATGGTGTAAAGTTTCAATTCGGCTTGGATCTCTTCCTTCAAGCCATTGATGAAAATTTCTTTCAGCATAACTCTTTCCTCCTTCTTCAATGGATCAGATTCATGCTCAAATTTCTCTCTGTATTTCATTACGAAACTAGTTTGCTTAATAGTCAGTAACGGACCAAATGGGTTTTATACCAACCCGATTGAAAACGTCAAGTCAACGCACCTTTAAATTCCTCCAGTTGAGTTTCTCTGTTCTTCCCACCACTGATACTAACTCAGCGCCTTATCCTCCAATGCGATTACCACATCTTCAAGTTTTTCTTCCTCGTGCACCCTGATCAGTTTGAAGTATCATTCCACTTGAATGATCCATCCATAAGCGTCATCACCACGGAAAATGGGTATCTTGAGCTTACGTCCCCCAAAATCTCGCAATGAATCACAACTACTTATTCGCGTGGTAGAACGCGAGCTGTCTTCACTCTCAACTTCACCATCTAAAGCATTGTTCTCATTTCGTCGCCTGAGTGAATGTCATTTGTGAGGTTTGCTACTGCGAGACCTGTTACGAGCAATGATCAAGTTTTTCAATTCCACAAGTTGTTGTTCCAGGCCATCAATGCGCTTCTACATTGCATTTCGCGTAGTTACCATGCACTCCTAGAATCGAGAGCTCTAGATACCAATTGATAAGTAACAAAAAAAAAATAAAACTATCACAGAAAAAATAACTTGTAGTATTCTTTTAATCAAGTAACAAAGAGGGTAATGACGATCCTCTTTCCTACTCCAAGCCCTGGATTCCTTTTTTCTCTCCCCCTCCTTTTTTTCCTCCCCCTTTCCCTCTTCTCTCTCAATGTGAAAGATCCTTACATTCCTTCTAGAAGCCATGTAGGCAATTCTGTTAGCAACAAAATCAACGTGGTCCCCATGCTATGGGTTCCACTTCTTCCTATCATAAAAATTTTGAACCTTCCTAATATGCCCTTCTAATTTTTTTCTCGTATCAGAACCTAGCATAACTCTAGACCATTACCCCCATAGTTATTAATAGCGTATGTAAGACTGTAACTGTGCTATCATGCTAGTGTAGAATGGAGTGACAACCCCCCTACATCTGAAGGTGGCATTGTGTCACACCTTGATATTGAGTTCGTCACATTGCATTTTGCATCCCAAATCATTTGAGCAATCTTGCTGTTATTCATACCTCTTTGATGTGATTTTGCTTTAACCTAAGGAGCCCTAAACTAATCCTGAAACAATATCATTTAACATTTTTTGTTTTTTATTAAGGATGAAAGGAAAAGTTTACCTTTTAACCATTAGGCCTACATTTTTCATCCCATTTTTTCACTTCCCTCTTTCGCAAATTGTAAAGCACTTCCTCCGGTGTTCTTACTCCAACCTAGATCACCTCTAAACTTCCAACAACATTACCAATGACACGAATGAGGATGTTTTTGGTTGTGCTTCTGACAACAGTTTTGGCAGTGCTTTGATACTTACCACTTTGAATGAAATCTGCACTCTTCTTTCTTCTTTCTTTTATGTTAGTTGCAATGGTTTCATTTAGCCAACCACCTTCTGCCATGCAACTTGTTCAACTGACCTCTCAGCTGGTCTAGCCACCATTAACCACGTCATGTGGATTGGTGAAGCTTGTTGGTCCCAACTTGGACATGTCTTGGTGGTGGACTAATGTACAAGATATCAATTATAAAAAGGCTGTAACATACAATTTTTGTTTGAAAATCACCAATAGTGGATTACTGAGAAAAGAGACACCAACTAGGAGTTAGGGGATATGTTATAGCTGTACAAAGAATAACCTTGATGTGAAAACATTAATCAAGGAAGCATTTTTGAAGAAAAAGACTGAAAAGAATGAGTGTTTGGCTGATATTCAAGAGAAAGAAGAGGAAGAGATAGAATAAATTCACACTATTCTGAAAGGAAAAAGGCTGCAACAGACTCTTCCCCTACTGCTAAGAAAGGAAAAAATATAAATGATTTTGTTGATTTTATGTTTTTCTAGAAGCCAGAGGTAAAATATTAAAGTAAGTGAGGTAAAGAGGCAAATAAGCATCACTAATGTTTGTAAATAACAGAAAAGAGGAAGGACCATACAATTAATAGAATGATTTCTTGCTTGAAACAAAATTGCTTTTATGGTGCAGCTGGAAATTATGGCCAATACCTAAAGTCCCCATCCTACCATGAATGTAGAGTTTCTCTTATCAAGAAATAGTTGGAGAAAACAGAATTTAATGAAAAATCATGATGTTGAAAGAAAAAACTTTGGTTGCAGAATGATGTCCGATGGATGAGCAGATAAGAAGAATAGAACCTTGATTAACTTAGTTAATTGTCCAAGCATTTCTATGTTTATCAAGAGTGTTGAAGCATCCCTTCATATGAAGATCAAAGAAAAAGTGTTTGTGTTGTTGGATAATTTTGTTGAAGAGGTTGGAGAAAGCAAGGTTATTAAAGTTGTCACTGACAATGGAATCAAATTTGTTTTGGTTGGTAAGTCTTGAATATTACTAGATGATCGATGATGTTAATTCTCATTGTCAATGTTCCCTCATTCTATTTTGTCAAATTTGGTTTTAGGTAAGTTGGTTCAAGCCAAGAGACCACATTTATTTTGGCCTCATGTGCTGCCCTCTGTTTTGGTTTATGTTAGAAGATATTGGGAAGATAGCAAAAGTGAGGAAGACTATCTAAAGTGGGATTAGTTTTGTGAGCTACATTTACAACCACTTCTTCAACAACAAAACATAATTGGTAAGGAAACAGCTCACAAGGTTTGGTACAACCTTCATCACCTTATAAAGGTTTCACCAAAAAAAAACTTAGAAAGATGTTCATTTCTAATATTGCTTGAAGTCAAAGGCAACCACCAAGGAAACTAAAGGAAAAAGTGCAACCGACATAGTGTTCATGACAACTTTTTGCATTGACGAGATTACACCTGCAAGGCTATGGGACTGATTGCACAAGTTCTCATGGTGAGGCTATGTATAGGGCAGAAGATGCTATCCAAAATGGATTCAAAGAAAAGAAAGAGAAGTAAATCGAGGTATTTGATATAACTGATAGAAGATGGAGTTCCAATTCCATCACCCGTTGCATGTTGGAAGTCATTATCTCAATCCCCAATACTTTTATGACTGTCGAAGTCTTGAAAGTGATATGGAAGTGATGGAGGGACTATAACAGTTTATTCAAAGGCTATGTCCAAATCAAGAGGATGAGGATAAGGCAAACAATGAGCTGTCAATTTATAGAAGGCCTGGAGGTTGTTTTGGCATGCTGGCGGCAATAAGACAAAGGTCTAAATTACCTCCTGATAAGTAAATAAAATATCATTTTATAATTTTAAATGGTCATCATGTAATTGTGTATAAAGCAAAAGTAATGAGTTGTTGTGTTTGTGAATAGTGGAAGAATTTTGCATCACAACCTCCACATTTACACAAGATTTCCGTTAAAACTTTGAGCTTACCAGGCTGTAGTTCTTTGGGATGTGAGAGGAATTGGAGCATCTTTAAGCATGCTAATAATTTTTTCAAATTACTTACTCTAAAAAAGTTTACTGTATGAATGTGAAACTAATATGATTATATATATATATAGTTTTATTCCAAAAATAGAACTGGGCTTCAACATGAGAGGTTGCAGGATTTGGTATATATAAATATAACCAATCACTTAAAGAGCATTTTTATTGTGAAGATGGGGATGGATTCCATTGTCTTGAATGAGGTTGATGAGAGGAGTGAATGTTTGTTAGGAGAAATGACCAATGAAGATGAAGAAGCTGTCTAAGCAAAAGAATTAGTTGTTGATGATTTAACTTGGGAAGCTTTGGCAGCTGCAACTGAGGCTGGGGAACCTATTACATACATTAGGCAACATATATGAACAGAGAATGCAGCTTCAGTTTCTAGTTCTTGGTCTATCGAAAGAAGAAATCAAGCATTGATGCAAGAAGACTCACTTATTCCAAGTCTAAGAGTTAGAGACTTACTCTTCTTTTTTCCATTCATTTTTTTATAATCTAATGATTAAAATAAATTACTATTTTATATCATTAGATTACAAGAAAATGAATAGTGAGATGAAGAATAAGTCTCTTATTCTTGAAAAAAATAAATCCCTTCTCTACCCTCTCTCTCTCTCTTTCTCCAAGATAAGAATTGGAGACTTACTCTTTGTTTTCACTATTAATTTTCTTGTAATTTATTGGTTAAGATACGTTATTAAGTTATATTATTACATTACAGAAAAATAAGTAGTGAGGATGAAGAATAAATCTGTAATTTTTTTTCTTGGAGTAAGAGATCTCTTTTTTTCTCTCTCTTTGTATAAATGTGTATAACATCGCCTAATAGAAATTTTCATAGGGATAGCAATCATCCCGGTTTTAAGGGTGGCTGTACCATTGCCCTAACCACTTTTGACTACTATTAATAATGGGGCTTGGGGCTGACTATGAGTCCACTGATGTAGTTAGTGTGACGTACTTCAGTTTAAAAAAAGAAAATTAGTGTGACATTAGTAATTAAAAAGTGTAGCAGATATAGTAAGTAAAAGAAAAACATTACTGAGTCATTAGTAATTAAAAAAATGCAAATATATTTCTCGGTTCCTCTGGCCCCTTTGAAGTCCTGTGATTCTCTACATACACTATTTTTTTATATGCCATTGCCTGTCTAATTACCTCCATAAAAAAGAATTTAAGAGGTCCGATTGCAAATTACAACCCCCTCAGTATTATGCCTTCATTATAGTTTTAAGTTTAACTCATGTTGATTTGTGTTTTAATTGGTGATGCATTATATGAAGCTCTGCGTATAACTTCAAGACTTTGAACAAGTGCAGGTTAGAAGCCTCAGCTCTATAACTTGATAATACATGGCTTCTAAAATGGGATCTACGATTCTGAAATGGGGATTATCAAATACAGAGAAAGAAAGCTCCGAAAAATCATGTATTGCCCTTGCAACTTCGAGAATCCACGGTTGTAGCTGTGATCCAAATTTTAATGGGCTAACTCTAAAAGTTGGCATGAAGTCTACTCCTTTTGCTCTGAGCTGGTAATTGAACTTATTCTAACAGTTTGGTTCTTGGTCTAAAATTATAATAATTTTTCATCAGATTTTATATTTGCTTCATATGAATATAATTTTTTTTATCATCTAAGAAGAGAATGAATCCTCTGTTAGAACAGTTGGTTAAATGAAGGATAGCCTAGTAATTACAGTTAGAGGAAGACCAAAAACTTTGGATTAAGCTAGTAAAAAGTATTTAGATTTAATTGGTTTCTATGAAAAATTGCTTTTATAAGATGTAGCTGACTTCACTTAGTGGGAAACAAACTATGATTATTGCTGTTATGTATAATTTTGGATATTATTTGTTACAACTCTTATCTTAAAACCTGATAATGGATAGATCATGCAACCTTCCCACGAATACTTTTTTTTTTTTTTCTCACGTAACCTTCTGAATATATTTTTCTTACTCCTTTCTTTCCAATAACATACTTTTTTTCTTTTTTTTTGCAAGATGCTAGAAATAACCACACCTTTACAACTGTAAATGATAAAATTGTTAACTGATTGGACATGTTAGGCTCTTCTCAATCTTAATAAAATGATAATATCTATATCCATGCTATATTAATTGTTTTTCATTACCCTGGTTCAGTTTCCTAGGAAGAAGAGCTGGGTGGAAAATAGCTTTTGCCTTGAACACAGGTGGAGTGTCTGGAAATGGTGACCAACAAAGCTTCAACGAAGCCAGTTCCAATCTTGGTGGTACTCGATTGGGTAGGATACTGACAGCAGGTGGCAGACAACTTCTAGAAAAGCTGAACTCAGCTAGAAAGAACTTCCCTTTGAAATTATTCCTACTACTTTTGGGTTTCTACACGGCAAATGCACTAGCTACAATCCTTGGGCAAACTGGTGATTGGGATGTTCTGGTTGCTGGTGTTGTGGTGGCTGCAATTGAGGGAATTGGCATGCTGATATATAGAAAGCCTGCCACTGTGAGCGCCGGGAGGTTGCATTCTTTTCTAGTGATGATGAACTACTGGAAAGCTGGCATATGTTTGGGTCTCTTTGTTGATGCTTTTAAGTTGGGCAGCTAAGAACCCACAAGACTCTTTTCTCTTTTCCATTTATTGTTTGTATATCACAAGACTCTGGTAAGTCATAATTTTGATCGTACTTCTCTTATAGTTCTTTACCAATGGTGTACATGTAATTGTAGTATGTGAATAGTATATAAAACCTTTGCTTGATGAGTTTTTGACTCTGCACAGTGCACCATTTTGCATGTGCTTGGTGAAGGAGAAACTTTTATTTTCTTACCACTCGAATTCATTTGCATTTACATCTGTCCTGCTGGCTCTTAGTTAGTATGTTTAAGAGGAAACTAATTTAATGAGTCACTGGAGCTACCTGCAGTGAGTGTAGAGCTATTTAAATTATACTAATGCTGGGTTGTAAATACCAAGTAATATATGGGTAGTGTTGCTCTACTTTTTTCTTTTTTAATGTGTTTGAAGTAGTATGCAATGTGAAGCAACATAACGAAATTTTAGGACTCAGTTCCTTGCTACCTGATTGCAAACTAGAAATGATGAATGGCTGCATGATTAATTGAATCTTATAGAAAGGTGGGTCATGACTTGGCCAATAATATAATCATCACATTATATAATGTGCAAAATCATTATCTATATCTACAACAATAAAGTGATACCCTTTTTTTTTTTTTTTTTTTAATGCATATTTTTTTACCATTTTACCTTCTATCATTGTAATAACTATTTTATTATATGATACTATTGTGATTTTTTTTTTAAATTGTGTTAACTATTTATTTTCTTATTGCAAAAAACATGGATACATTGGTGTGCTTTCTTCCAACGCAGATTATTACTGCACACCACAGTCCTATTTTTAACATATCTATTTCATATATATTTTTTTCAGCTAATTTGATGAAATATGGACATAATGATGGAAGGAAAATGATCATAAACAATTATATTGACTAATAAACAGCTCGTCTGAATTAAAGAATGCAATCATAAAGGGGCGTAGAGATTCCCTCGAGCAAAAGGAACAAGGATGTGTTCTCTTCCCATTAAATCATCTATAAAATAAATTTGGAATAAAAAATAGATTAAAGCTTTTCTTTCAAAACTTGGGCACGTTTAGGTAGTTTCAAGCAATCTCATTCTTCAGATGTAGCACTTGCGGCACTCAAGTCCACAGAAAGATCAAGAGCCTGAAACGAAAGGCAAAATGGATGTCATAATCAAGAATAGAAAAACCCAGACTTTATTACCTTTTTTTTCCCACTTGGATATGATTTTTTTATCTATGCAACATTATATTTGGAGCTTAATTGTTTTCGTGCATGTAGATGCGTATGGAAAATCTGTTTTATGAGGTAACAAATCAGGTCTAAATTTTTCTTGGAGGTTGGAACTTTGGAACAACGTGCTTTCAGGTCCAAACATAAGCTTTTGTCTACATGAAAGATACCATTTATCAAAAGATGGTAAAAATTAAAAGTGTAGTTTAAGATATAGATCTATCAATTTCTTGGCCTCGTCGTTTTGCTAGTTTACAATGCCCTCTGTAATACAGTTCTTTTTTATTTCTTGTTCTCAAACTCTATGTAATTGTCATAGTATGCGATGAAATATGCAATGTCAATTGTATATGAACTGAAAAAAAAAAATAAAAAAAAATACAAACCTTTCCAGTGATTTTACTGTACATCCCGACCACATCTTTAACTGTGGTTTCAAAGTGTGTGGTAGGATCATAGCTCTGCAAGGATTTTATTTCAGGTTATTACAAGTAGTTTTTGAAAATAAATATAACAAGGAAAGAAATTTCATCTTATATGCTGAGAAAGAAGTGTGATAAGATGTCATGTTTATCATCAAGACAAACAGAAAAAAGTTTCACCTAAATATTTTTAAATCGTAGCCAACCGTAGGATTCTAACTGTAAATTTACATAACATCATATGGTCATTTAAATCAAAAGAATATTTGTTTCTTCTTTCTTACAACATAGACTGGCCATATTCTTCAGTGACAGACTTTGGGTATTTTACAAAAGTCAATTAAATACAAGCAACTTTGTGTGTGTATGTCAGTTGTTTAGATAACCCAATTAAGTACCCTTAACAATAATGGTTTGGAAAAACGAAACATCCAAAAGAAAAATAAAATGTGCTTATTATAGATCCAACTCAATACTTACAGTAGAGATGAAACAACCATCAGTCTCATGATCATTGCAGGGTTCAAACCTGTCATACATGTCATAGAATATCTCATCTACAGGTCCAAGAAGGTCAATACCAGGCTTCAATTCCACCTCAGGTTGGTCAGTCTCTGCTTCTGTTGTAACAAAAGCAATAAATTTTCCTTTGGGTGCTACATTATGAGCATAAGAGCAGCAGAAGAGATACCTGCAACAACGAGGTACATGAGCAAACATAACCAATGAAGTAGGAAAAAAGAATCTTCACAAGAACTAATTTGAATTAACTTCTCAACAAGCACTTATGGAAAAAAAAGAAAAACAAAACAAGGAGGTAAAATGAATCAAACTTCTCCCACATGTTCAAATTAACTTGTATGGCCGAACTATTTTAGAAGAACCTTCATATAACTTCTAAATAAGCGCCTATAAACTTAGCAGAACTCTGCCTTGTAGCCTTAATAAAGTCTAATAGAAGAGTTTTACAATTAAAAACTCCCACAAGTTCCAAGCTAATCCAAACTAAAACTAACTCCATTCTTCTTGTGTATCTTATGGTTTGTTCTTTACATGCATATTCAGCAAAAAATTAAAGCATTGGGGTTTATCAAAGCAAACTTACATATCTGACTTGCGACCAAGCTGTTTCTGTGGCAGAATGACTTGTGCTGAGTGAGATTCATTGGTGTTTGGAATAGGATGGCTCATAATACATATTGCACGTGAAACCTTTCCAACCTTCTGAACCTGTTGAATGAATTAAATAGTGTCAGATGGAGTGGAGAAGACAACACTTTGGTGCAATTCATGTTACTTCAGACATTCATGTAAACCATGTCCAATAACTAAATAGAACACTTGAGAAAACGTAGCTCACAGTCCTTGTTATCTCAGCAAGAAATCTAACCTTATCAGGCAGATATGATGGATCACACACAACTTTCTTGCATTTAGCTGTTTCTCCTTCTGATGTCACACCGATGGCTTTCCCATTTTCGTCAAATTCTACCTGCGAACCACAAGATTAAATGTGAGGACAAATGTACAACAAGGAACTTGAGAGTACCTTTACATATATTGGTTAAGGAGAATTTAGTATACATTCTAATAGAGGCTTATAATTAATTAAAATTAAGAATAATTAATTCTTTTTCCCTCTTTTAATATAACGTTTTTGTCATTAAGAACTTCTACTTTTATTTCCTTGACCCATATTTGAAGAGTACTGAATAGCATTTTGCTCCGTATATAGAGAATCCTTCTATTTATCAGGTTTCAGGAATTGAGCAACACAAAGTAAAGGAATGACTCAAGTTAAGCTTTGAAATGGTTCCATGAAACAGTATCAGACAAGATAAGCTTCAAAGGTCAAATAAATTCACTTGATACCAATTTCAAGAGTAAATGTAGATTTTCCTGTAACTTACCTTGCATTCTGGCTTGTTCAGCATGTACGTTCCACCGTACACAGCACTTAGACGTGCAAATGCCTTAATAAATCAAAGAAACCAAGGTTAGTTCCTGAAGTTTACCAAGTTTAAAAGGGAAACAGATATGGAGAACCTGAGGCAACTCTCCCAGTCCATATAGTGGATATATGTAAGGTGAACCTCCTTGAAAGCGAGCTAGGGACTCTGCATAAATCTGTTTAGAGCAAACAACATATTACACGCTAATAAAGTTTAAGAAGCGACTCTATGTATGCAAAATATGAATGTAATTAACTAAAATGCACTAGACAAGAATTTCCATGAAGGAGATAAATTGGAAGCCTGTGGAATCTCATGATCACAATTAGTAACTTCACAAGCCATGTAATAATTGACAGAAAAGACGAGCAATTCTTAGATTTATAATTTAGAGAAAAATCCAATTAGTACAGTTTATGATTCTTCAAATTAACAGAGAGAACAATGTATGCTAAACGACTGATAGTAGAAGTCTTTTAACTATCTTCTATTTGTCAATGGTGTTGTTGTTATAGCAAAATAATGCATTAATGATTTAGTTTCACGTACGAATCAGTAATCCTTATTCGAGTCTTTAGGGAGCTTCTATGCAACCATAATTCAATATAAAGAAGGCATCTATCTGCAAATAGAAACTTCAAATGTGTTTAGCATGTAAGAAATCTGAAGCACCCTTTGGACACGAAACTCCATTATTTTCTTACATTCATAAATTCTAAGACTTTAAACTTCTTCAGAAATAAGAATTATAATCATAGATCACGATATTTTTGTATATATCCTTAACAGCCTTCAATAACTGGAATTTTTGGATGCATAGGGGGAAATACTGATAGTGATTCTATGATTTCAACTACGTATGCATATTTATTCCATTTCATTCAGGTAATCCAGTAAATGGATTTTAGTTCTATAAGCGGGATATATACATATGATATAATAGTTTTGGCTGAGAAAAAAAAGATTATGGAATAGTTTGTATATTAGTACCTTAACTCTCTCTACAAAATCCTTGGCTGGCTCATCCAAGTAACTATCATCACGATGAAGTGCCAAGGCATGACCAATAAAGTCAATAGTATCATCTTCCAATCCATATTTCCTACATTTGGAGGAACCATTAAACATGTAGGAAAGTAGATTTAATCCAAGTATTAAATTGAACTCTTGTTAAAGAAAGATTTTAAGGGATGGAAAATCAAGTAATAGAGAGGAAAAGAAAAGAATCAAAATACTTACGATATAAGCTGCCTTGCTGTAACTTGATTCAAATCCAGTCCTTCGTGAGATTTGGGATCATTTATTTCATAATCTTGGACATAAATGAAGAACTTCCGAGCACGGCGCTTCTCAAACAGTCCCATTAAAGGTGATTTAAGTGCTTCAACATCTGTTGCAGGGACTTTGTATATCTATAAATAAAAAAGTTAAAGAAATTTTGTCGTAAGAATTTTGGTGAAATGTGAGGCTTGCAATATAGGAAGAAACATAGGACTAGTGAAGAATACAAAAGAAAATAAAGAATACTGTGAATATGTTGCCTACCTTTCCCTTATTATACACAAAGCTTCCATCTACAGCTTTGAAGTTCAAATACTTTGTAACATCAGTGTGAATGAGAACACGGACCAAGGCTCCATTGGCCATCATAAACTACAAAAAACAGATGAAAAGTTGGTTTTCGTTTCAGAAAAAGAAATGGAGATGGTAATGTACAGAGAGATATTAAAAACATGCATCAATGTTTAGACTTTCAACTACAAAATGTGATATACACTTTTCTAGGTCATGTTGTTCCACAGGTCAATAGTTAAGAATATGACCTTAGGTATCATATCAACATTGTATTCTCTGCTAGCCCCCAACGCCTCTGGTGGCTTGTCATCTTCCCTAAATCGCTTCCATAGCTAAACAGCAGAAAATGAATTTTAGTATGAGAAATGCAAAGGAGATATTTCACATGCTCCTATTGCTAGTAAGTTACCTGTGTAAGATTGAGAGATGTGGAAGCTCCTCCATAGTAGTCATTTCTATCCATGTGCAACACCTGATTCAAGTGGATAGTAATGAATTATAGTTTTCAAAAATTAAGAATTACTTAACAACTTTCTCAATGTTTGTATGGCATCTTTAATGTTGATTATTATCTTCAAATGGAGGCATAGATATTGATCTTCTCAAAAGCGTGTTATCATGTTCCCAAAATCTTTATCAACTTTTGGACATGTCTCATCCTCCTCTTGGTCACTATTAAAATATTCTTTTGCTATATATATATATACCCTAGATGAAGCAAAATAGATAGATGGAAATTATGATATTAGCCTATGACTTAACTCATTAAGTGTGTATTTGAAACAGGTTAAAATTGTATTATTTTAATAATTAATTACATGTATAATTTATTATTTTTATTATTGATAAGTGGAAACGTAGAGGTGTATAATTTTTTTATAATTTTTAAAATATTATTTTAATTTTTTTTCTTTTTTATTCTTTAAATATACATATTTTTTCTTTATTTTCTTTCTTTCTTATATTTTTATTATTTTTTAAATATATAAATCATAATAACTGTTTTTTTTTAAACTATAACACTTTTATTTTTCTCTATTCAATGACATCAAAATAATGGTTGCAAAAAAATCCCCTTTGGATTATAAAAGGAAAAATCATTATGTTTAATAAAAGTAAATTTAAAATAAATAATTTTGTTTAGATTTAAAAAAAAAAATTACATGAGAGAAAAAAAATGAATTTAGTAATTGAAAAGCCAGTTGAATCTAATTTTTATGCAGTCAACTAAATTTAATTGGATTGGGTTTACATATATTTTTAGTAGCAATCTAATCCAAACCAATAATAATTAGGTTAGTTTGGATTGAATAATTAAAAAAAAATAATAATTCAAACAAATATCTTAAAACATATTTTTTAAAGTAATATTTATTTAAATCTTATCCACTTATAGTCATAAAAAATATTAATCACTCATGAAAAGTAAAAAGCCGAACAAAAGAACTAAAATAATGAGATTTAGATAAATATTAAAAATTATGTTTTCTAAAATAAAAATATGAGTAAAAATTATTATATAAATAACACATATTTAATTTTAATAAATACAATACAACATAAGTAATTTGGTCAAATTTAACAATGTTACATAAATCAATATTTCACCAAACTCTATCATAAACCAAATTCTCATTTTTATTTTTATTTTTTTGACTAGAACTTGCATGAAATATTGATCATCTCATCTTTGAATATACTTCATGCTGATTTGATCAGCTTGATTTTTTAAATGATTTTACCTATTTTATTGTTTCTAGAAAGAATTTTTCAAAATATACATCGTTTAGAAGTGCTCACGTTTCAAGATAAGCAATTTTTTTCCCAAAACTTGAAAAGAAAATCAAGATAAATGAATTGAAAAAATCATTCATGTACCACCAATCTTTAACAAGCAAATAGAAAAAAGAATGAAGAATTTACCTTGAGGCCATCAACTGAGAGAAGGCCACTGAGGATGCATTCCTTGAGACCTGTGCCCAACACAATTACATCGTACTCTTCATCCATAGTATGTTGTTCGATTGAGTTTCTGAGAAATCGAAATTGAAATCCAGACAGAAAAGGAAAAGAAAATCAGGTTTTGGATTTGATGAGGGACGAGGTGGGAGAGGAACATGAAATTCGAATATTAAGTGTTTGCGTTTTTGTTTGTGTGAAAGAGATTTGAAGCAGAACACGTCTTTAGCGCTAAGTAACGAGACTAACGCTCCCCAAAATAACTCATCTCACAATGAATACAAGTGTTTTCTGTTATGAAATCGTTTTATCATATTTATTTATTTATTTAAAACTCAATAATTAATATTGCGCAAATGATATTAGTACATTGTTAAGTTTGATTTCGACAATGAATGTTACTGTAATTTAACATTTTTTTTTTCATTGAAAAAAAGGTTGAATAGTAACTTTAAAGCCGTAAATTAGAAACTGTAATAACTTAAACTCAGTCATGATTATATGTTGCACTAACATAACTTCTAAATTTTCCATAAAAAAAAAACATATAAAATTAATTTTAAGGTTTTCACTATTATTGTGGATCCAACTACAAAGACACCTGAAATTCTGGTCTTTTGTTTTTCTAATTCTACTTTCTATATATATGGATAAACTTTCACTTGGAATTGGATCTCTATTTTTTTTCCTTTTTTTTTTTTTGAAAAAAGAGAGGTCTATATGTTTGTTGGGGAAGGGGTTTATGTGTATATTTGGTTTCTGTTAAAAAATAGTTAATTTTTTGCTGATAATGAAAGTTTATTTTTGTATATGTTTTTTTTTTTACATTTTTACAATATTTTATTGTATATATGCAAATTTATAAAATGTTGATTCTAATATCAAACAATTTTCAAAATACTTATATGATGTAATATGATTAACAATGGTGATATTAAGTAAATTAATAAAAGGAATTTTGGAGGAGTCATGTAAAGGTAACTTTATGTAAAGATATGTTTAGTATAAACTCTTTGAAGATAAAAAATAGTGATTTGGGATATGAAAATATAATATTGAGATTTTTTGAATTTTGTCTTCATAAAAGGTGCATTCTTTGAATATTTGTCCAACGATATTTTATTGAAGTTTTGAGTTAAACATTAATAAATGTCGGAGGAATATTGAATACCTTTGAAGATATCTGCAATTGAAATATTTTCAAGTTAAACAGATCTGAGAACAACTCGAAAGTTGTTTCTGAAAGTTATCACTTCTATATGAGCCATTAAAAAGTAACTTAGGTGTAGTTATTCGTGCCAAAATCTTATAACACCATTTTATGGATTCTTAGTTGAATTATTTAAAAATGGAGAAAAATACAATTTTTAAAAAGTTTGTGTGTGATCAATAAAATAATATTTTTATTTAGAAGAATTTTTGTAAATAACTCTTTTAAAGATGTCTTTACACATGTGACTTTTAGACTTCAAAATCTATAAAATTCAACCATTTAACTTGGTTAGAAACGCTTACACAACATCTTTGTAACATATTCACACTATATCTTAAAATGGTTACATGTTCTTAGAGAAAAAAAATTTCTACCAAATATATTAATACAATTGTTTATATTATATCTTATTTTTTTTAATTAATAAATACTTATTTATGAATTTAGAATATGTTATAATATGTTCATGAATTAAGGATAATTTAAATATATCTTTTTTTTAATCCATCAATATGTCTTTTAAAAATAAAATTATGACGATTATCATAATAAATACAAGAATGTGACGTTCTTGTTCCTTAAACATAATAAAATCATTGTGAGAAGTTATTTAAACAAATTTTCATATTTATATTTATAGAGACTTGTTTTATCTTGTCCTCACAGAAAATACAAATCGTTTTTAATTTATTTTTTCTTATCATTAGATTATAACTAATCTCTTTCGTGATTCTATGAATATTAATGTCATATAAATTTGTTTACGTGTTAAGAAAGAGTGAAATTAGGTTACAAAACGAGTTAATATAATATATATATATATATATATATATATATATATATATATATATTGAATTTATATTAATAATATAATGTATTTTATATTATAATTTCTATACTTAAAAACTAGGTTTGCTATTATATCATCATTGATTTCATAATATTTATAGAAAGTAATTTACTTTTCATTAGTAAAAAATTATACAAATAAAAATTGTAGGTTAATTGAATATTAAATTGGTAGTCACAAATTGACAATAATTTTTTTTTAACGTAGTTGTGAACTCCTCATTTTTTTTCTATAAAAGAATAATAATAATAAATAAATAGCATCAAAATTAATGAAAACAAAATATTTTTTGTCACAGCCACTAACATATGCTCTGCTACACAAATTGAGTTCATCAATAAGTAAGAGTTCTTATATAGAATTTATATAGAATGAAAGATGAAAACCTTAGATAAAAAAGGGAGAGAAAAGAAGAGACATAATCAAAGCAAAAAAATCAATAGAAGCATAAGTCCAAAATAACAAACAGTGGAGCAAACAATACCAACACAACAATAGTCTTCGGATGAAAAGAAAAATCCATAAACAGGTTAACTTCCTTATCCTTGTAATGTAATATTTTGTGACATTTGTTGTTCCTGTAGTATCTTTTGCTCTTATAATATATGTTGCTCTTATAATATTTGTTGGCTTATTTCTGTTACTCCTTCTAATGTAACATTTGTTGGTATCGATATTCTTGTAATATTTGTTGGTATTTATTGTTTTCCTATTATGTCTTGTTTAAATATTCTAAAGCTAAAATAAAAATAAAAATGAAGAATACACTTAGGTCACCACTGACACACTTCACTCCCATCACCTCCCATTTTAAGCTTTTCTTATCACCTGTGCACTTCACTTTTGCTTTTCAGCTTCGCTCTCACCCCACATCATAACCATTCCAGCACTAGAACCATTTCTACCCCTTACCTCACGTCTCACCTCCACTTCGTTGAACTACCACCAAACAAGCCCCACATCTATCTAATTTCATTTGAAATAAAAATAAGTTTAACCGTTGGTTAGGTTTGGGTCACAAAATGTGTTCGAATTAGTTTTTGGGCCCAATAAAATTGTGGGAGGTTATTGGGCTAATGACTCAAGTTAGAATAAAAAAATAGTCTATTTATTTTTAGGGATGAAAATAACAAAAGTGGACTTTAAATAGTAAAACAAATCTGAAGATTTTTTATTTTATTTTTGAGAGTTATTGGACCTATATTTTTTTTAACTTGAGACAGCATGACAAAAACATGTTACAATGGATCTGAAAGATTATTTATTTATATTTGTTCAAATTCTAAATAAAAATGACTCAAACTTAAAAAAAAAGAACATAATTTAATATATCACTAGACAATTTAAATTTTAATAATTATCAATTTCTCCAAATATTATTTTATTAAATTACTAAATATGCTGTATTATTTTTATTATAGTTATAGCAAAATATTTCAAAAAAAAGTTAATCACTTTAAAACTATAATAATCACTTCAAATGTACTTTTTTATTTGATTATAATAAAATATTTTTCCATTTAAAACATATTTTAAATCTAAATAAGAATTATAAATATAATAATTTAAATATTAAATATTAATTATTACTTTGAATGCACTTCGATTTAATTATTACTTATATTATAGAAAAATAAATTTTGATTCGATTATAATAAAATAATTTTTGTTTTTAAAAAATATTTTAAATCCAAATAAGAATTATAAGTATAATAATTTAAATATTAATAATTACTTTAGATGCATTTTCAATTTAATTATTACTTAAATTATAAAATGATAATCACTTTAGATGAACTTCAAATTTGACTATTACATCATTTATTCAATTTTACAACAATTTCAAACATACTTTCAATCTAATAACACAAATAGATAAATTAAAATAAACTATTCGCACATTTTTTTCAAAGAATTATGCTACTCTGATTCTTCATTGCACATGGAGATACGTAAAATCAAAGAGATAATCTTTGTAGAGTAAAAAATAAAAAATATATAAAATCTTTTATTTTAAATAACAATATTTAATATATATATATATATATATATATATATATATATATATATTTTAAGAGATAAAATAAATAATTTTAAGATATTTAACTTTTAACATCTAATTAAAGGTAACCTCTTAATGTTACTTGAAAGATAGAAAATATCCTCCTAATGCTTAAAAAAATGACAAGAGAACATTAAGGAGATTGAGAATGAAATTTTTCTTGAATGATGATGTGCTATATAAAAGAAAACATGTCATGATGTTGCTTAGGTGTGTTGACAAAGTCGAAGTTAAGAAAATAATGGAAGAAGTTCATGAGGGTTTATTTGGAACACATGCAAATGGACATGTAATGACAAAGAAAATCCTAAGAGCTGATTATTATTTGTCAACCATGGAAAGTGATTGTTGTAACTATGTAAGAAAATGACACAAATGTCAAATATATGCTGATAATGTCCATGCACCAGCGTCATCTTCAAATGTTTTGGCTGCACCGTGACCATTTGCAATATGGGGTATGAATGTAATCGGACCAATCAAATCTAAAGCATCAAATGAAAATCACTCTATCTTAGTAGCAATCGATTATTTCACCAAATGAGTCAAAACAACATCATATGCTAGTGCGACAAAGAATGTGGTAATTAAGATTATCAAGAAAGATTTAAGTTATCACTATGATTTGTCAAACAAAATCATTACTCACAATAGAACTAATTTGAATAACAAGATTATGATAGAATTGTGTGATAATTTTAAGATCCAACATCATAATTCATCACCATATTGTCCGAAGATGAATGTGGTAGTAGAAGTAACAAATAAAAATATAAAGAAGATTGTCAAAATGATGATAGTTACATACAAAGATTGACATGAAATGTTGTCCTTCACACTACATGGGTATTGCACCTCTGTTCGTCCTTGACAATTTCATGAAAGAGATTTGATCCTTAAGAACAACTCAGAAAGATCAAGAGAAA